CCGGCAAGCCCAAGGATAATCTATCGGTCTGAGTTGACAGGGCATTTGGCCAAAAGGTCTGTCATCGGGGGTTGCTTGAAGAAGCAAGCTTGAGACAAAGGCATAGTTGAAGCAAGCGTGCCTGCAGCAAAGAAGCAGCGCCAGATCGGAAATCACACGCAGCATTAACAAGGGAAGTTGACTGCAGCACCTGCCATTCTGAGAATTTGCGCTGTTGCACAAGTTTTTTTCTAGCCAAGGTTTCAACCAAAAAGGCATTCGGGCTTCTGATCCGACAGGATCGAGGGGACCGGCTGGGTGGCTTAGACTCTCTCCAGACGGGCCTGAATAATGTGACCGAGTCTCTCGAGAAGCTCCTGCTGGGCGGCTTTGCCCCAAGGCTGCCGGCACCATCCAGTGAGGCCGCTTACAAGCTTGTCCTTGACGTGGAGATGGGTGTCAACAGCTTCTTAGAGGCTGCAGCCATTCCCAACCTTCGCACTGCCCAATCAGCTGGAGTTGCTGTGTGCGAAGCGGCAGAGACACTCGCCAAGCTGTACATGGCAGAGGGTGAGGCGGTTGCCGACCAGGGATCCTGGCTCGGAGCCAGGGCTGAGCGGGCAAACTGGCAGAGGGCGCTGGCAGCTGAGGCCTTCGGTGCCGCAGCAGCTGAGACCGCTGGAGCACTTTCTGAAGCCACCCTGCAGTTTGAGGCTGTGCATGGGCAGCTTTACAACGAGATCATACCGGAGCGACAGGACCTCCTGCAGGTTTGGCGAGAAATCGACGTGGCGTGGGCCTCCTTCAAGACTCAGATGGAGGGCCAGAGTGTGGCGGTAACTTATTGGTACTTAGTAGGGAATAAGGGATGATAATCCTGAAATATATCCCTTTGTTGACTACTAAGCCCGCAGTAAGGCAATGTCTTCGGCTCTGAGTGAGTTGGATGTGGTACTGGCTTCCGCGGTGCCGATGTTTGGCATGAAGGATGTCCCAAATCCACCGACAACCCCTTGGATGTTCGCGGCAATGTACGGTGCCCTGGGTGTGACGCTAACTTTTTGCGGCTGTGCAGGCTGCTACATGTTTCATAGATCCCGCCGCCAGAAGGTGGATGACCCTCATGCAGGCGGCCCCAACTACGCCTAGACAACGACTTGACACATCTTGATACCCGAGCCGGTGTTGCAATCGTCAAAGGCACCTCCAAGACCTCAAATCAGAGACCCAAAGCACGGCCTAAGCATCGGTATGTGGCAGTTTACCCCCTCAAGATGCTCTTGGTAAAGAGACTTGCAAGGCTCCGGCCTGGATATTCGAAGACTGCAATACGAAACGTTTTTCAAACCGCGTTACGTGTCTGAAGGGGGCCTCCAAGCCCTGAAGGGGCAAGGGAGCTCCGATGGACCTCTTGGTTGCAGGCCTTGGGCTATGGATATGTTGCATGCTAGTTTCAGTTCAGCATAGTTTCAGTCGGGCAGTTTTCTATTTTCGATCTATTTGTCGCTGGCTTTTGGACTGCATCCGGCATGTGCATCTCCGAGAAAACCGCAGCAGCGGCAAAGTCAGGCAGATCCTGCGTCTCATTCAGAGACATTGGCGTCTGGACTGCAAGCCTGCTGAGTGGGCTACCGTCCTGCCTGGGTGCACAACCTAAGCAGCATTTTGGAAGTCCAGAGCCATTAATTCGTCTAGTGTCTGTTCGAAGGCAGTTTTATGCAAGGAGAGCTGTTGTTGAAGCCTCCAGAATTTCAAGAGACTGCGGACCGCACCTTTGGGCATTCGCATGCCAGACCCTAATCGAGCTTGGCGCTCAAAATCAAGCTGCACGTTGTGGTCAAATCCGGGGGCCGTGGCTTCGCGTCCTTCATATGGTATTCCGCTGAATTGCCGTTCAGCTCAGCTCAGAAGATGCTCAGCACGCGGGAGTCAGCAAAGCTTCATCACCTTTCTCGCTTTTGCCTACTCTTGCATGCCCATCTTCAAAATCAGTACCACGGTAGCCATCAAGCAGCGAAAGTGAAAGTTGTCTGATCCTCGCCGGATGGCGCCGGAATGGATGACAGCAGCCTTGACCCTTGATGCTGCTCCACTTTTGAATACATCATAAGCTTGTGTGACAACAAGCTGATTGGCCCTTGAGGTGGGACCTCCAGGATTACACATGAGGCAGGGTGCAGGTGCTCTTTAGGGCTATGAGGCAGTTGCCTTTTTCGAGAGGAGGAAGCCTCCAGTGCTGAGTTTGCACGCCAGTGCCGGGAGCCCCACAGAGCAGTCAGTGTCACCTGTTTTTTGCAGAAGGCTTGAGGTGACGTCAAGCTTGGTAAGTCGGACTTTCAGGCGCGCAATCCTGGCCTGATTTACTTGGCATCTCGGCAGCCCACATGAGATATCTTCTAGACTCGGGATTCGATACGGGACCACTATAGGGGTTGCTGAGGGGGATACTAGGAGTTAAGACCATAGCTTATATCATAGGTCTCTATAGGCTTATAGGTCCCTTTGACAGGGTTACAGGGGATACATATAAAGGCTAGGAGTTTAGACTGTGGCCGATGTGCAAAAGAATCCTGAGCAACGCTGCCAGAAGCCGAGGCCGATGGACTCCGCAGAAAGAGGCCCACTGGCTTCGCCAGCAGTTGGAAGTTTCCCAAAATAGGAGGACCACAATAAAGGCCTCAAAATACTATAGCATTTTTTAACAAGGATCCCCAAAAAGGCACCCCTCATTTTGGGAACTCCCCCCCCCCACATTTGCAAACGCGGGACAGTGAACTTGGGGGTGGCAGGAGGAGACACCAGACACTACGGCAACAAGCGTCAGCGAGGTACCTTGCCCTAACGTGCATGTACTGGCCTTTGGTGAGCTAGTTGTCCCTGTACAACCCACCCCAGTAGTTTCCATCTTCTTTTCCATTCCTTCATGCCCAGCTAGCCAAAGTCCAGTGTTGCACCAGGCAGATGCCCACACCATCAAAGTGGACGTCTTGCGCACTCGAGGCAGAGGGTTCCTTCGGTTTTGCGTGGGGTTTGGTCTGCTTTCATGTTATATAAATACTCCCACTATACTATCAAACAATCAAGTATACTCCCAATATACTGTAATATACTCTCAATATACTATATTATTCTATGATACATTACAATATACTATAATATACCTCAGTGGGGAGTATTGCTGTTGACATCCGGCACAGGTGCGCACGCTGCCTTCTCCACCCCAGAGATGCGTGGAAGGCTCGAGGCCGCCATTGGCAGAACTTCTTTAATTTGATGGTTTCGATGGTTTCTATGGTTTCCATGGTTCCTGTGGTTTCTGTCGTTTCTATGGTTTCCATGGTTTCTATGGTTTCTATGGCTTCCATGGTCTCCATGGTTTCTATGCTTGCCGTGGTTTCCAGGGTTTCCCCAATGTAGGTGCAGTCCCCCTTAAGTAGATAGAATATGGCCCAGGGTATATTACCCCAAGATCCCCATATATCCCATATTCTATCTACTTAAGGGGGACTATGCCCTAAACCCTAAACCCTAAATCACCTCTCCTAGCAAAACTTGGGTAAGAACCCTTTGCCGAGCCAGGCAGACGAAAAGTCCGAAGGGTTGTAAAAAAAACCTAAATAGTAGTTTCCATTTTCTTTTCCATTATCCCTATATAATCCCTATATAACCCCTTTAAAGGGACCCATATTCTAATATTTCTGGAGTGTAAGGCCCAAAGGGTTGGTAGGTGTGAAGTAACCCGCCGTAGACATCTGGCGCCTGCACTTTGGAACGATCCTTGGAGTAATGGGGCGAAGCTTGAACTAAAGGGGCGATAATAAAACTAAATCAGAACTCCTCACACCCTTGACTAAGTGGGCCTAGCTTGGACTAATGCGCGGTAGTTTGGACGAATGGGAACGATCCTTGGAGTAATGGGGCGAAGCTTGGACTGATGGGGGGGATGATATCATTAAATATCTTGTGTTCCAAAATGATCCGTCTCTAGTATTTGTGTTCCAAAATGACGCTGGTCGGTGTTCCAACATGACGCCAATCGCTATTCCAAAATGATCCCTCACCCAATTGGTTATACAGGGTTGCCTCACCCAATTGGTTATATAGGGTTGCATGGGGGTAATATAGGGCCTGATATAGGGCTTATGTAGGGATAATGAAAGATAAAATGATTACTATTTAGGGTTCAAGGGTTTAGTGTTTAGTGTTTTTTAGGGTTGCTTAGTTTCCTGTCATGCCGCCGATGCAGGATTTACTCACGCAGTTCTGCCTTTCGGAGGGCGTGCGGTACATGCAGGTCAGGGCCTCGCGCTTCCATTTCCTTGAATTGAACAAAGCTTCCATTTACTTTCGCAATATCCCTATATAACCCCTATATAGACCCTATATAACCCCTACATAACCTTTATAACCCCTATAGAACCGAAGGGCTTCCATTTCCTTTGATTGAACAATCCTCCGAGTATTGTCAGGGCCTCCACGAGGTTGCCGCCGTCTTTGCCTACATCGAGGCAGTGTCGCGACCATATAGGGGTCATGTAAAGATCATAGAAAAGAAAATGGTCACTACCATATTCTAATATGGAATATATTGGGGTTATACAGGGATAATGGAAAAGAAAACGGAAACTACCGCG